CATGTTAACTTTGATCTCTTGGCTAAGGTAGCATTCGTCAGGTTTCTTCACTATAATGTTACTTAAAACATAAACAAAAACCCAACTCCCTTTACATGCTCTTTGGAACGAAGTCATTATTCATTCCCAGCCCACACTTAAGGGGTGGGGAGTGGAATATCTGCATAAATTATTTGGGATTCTTCTGTACATGGGATTTGCCTATTCTCTGCCTTTTACTTTTTAAATCATATCAGTATGGACTTATGGATCTATTATATTTTGGGTTGTAATTCAACACTACTTAATTTTGTTGCTCAAATTGTTCCAGCTCTTAAAGTCTTGTCGTTTAAAATCTATACATTTCCTCTCTCCTGCCTTTCCCCCCTCTTTCTCCTCCCCCCTCAATCCCCCGTCTCACTTTTGGCCTTCTATTTGTTAAAGAAATCGAATCAGTTGTCCTACAGGATGTTTCATAATTTGAATTTAACTAATTACAGTACATTGTTTCACTTGTTCTTCAGTGCTCCCTCCCTTTCCCTATAGTAACAGCTAGAAGCTTGATTTGTTAGGTTTAATTTGGTGAAATACTTCTTAGGTAATGCTGTTGCAGTGTATCCCATCAGCACATGTCTGGTTGTCCTTTTTTTGGTGATGCGAAGATTGATTAGCAGTGTCATTCTGTGGCATCTGTTTTATGAAGCCCAATCAACTTTTCCACTAATAGTTTTAGCAACCCTTGACCATCATTATCTATATCTATTACTTCATTAATGTAATGAAAATAGTGGTTCTTGAATTTTATCTTCTCTTTGCAATTATTAGTGATTCTTTCACATAATTTCAAATAAATTTCCTACTCATCAGGAATTTGGTTACTTGTTCATAAAAGAGAACATGCTTGACTCTTTCCCTATTTTATGAAAAAACAAATTCCAAACGAGTTGGTTCCCAGCACATTTCAAAGGTGACCAATGAATGTGTGTATGTGTCCATTTAAACTTACATTTTCAAACATATTTGATGTGCTTCAAATCATTGCAGTCATTCTTATTGCTGCTTAATATCTTTGGCAAGTGGCAGCCCCTTCGGATTGCCTCCTGAGTTCTTTTGACTCAATTCCAGTAGTCTTGGAGGTCTTCCTTGCTTTCTGGAACAGACACCCCATACTTATTTTGTACATTTCCTGGAAATCAGCTATTTCTCCAAGGAACCGGGCTTCCTTCTAGTCAGAAATAGTGTTTAGAGACCAGTCTGGGAACTAGGGTTGCTCACTGTTACTGGGTTGTTATTATATTTAGACCTTTTCTGTGGATTTAGCTAGGAAATATATATATTTCTAGAAAGACTCATGAATGTTCAATCTGATATTTGCAATTCAAATGAAAGATTATGAGGTATTCACTTCTTTGATTTTATATATGTATCTCTTTATTTACATTAAAAATCTTGGTTTCCAGTAACATTAGCAAAGCTACTTATTTGCTTTAGTCTAAATATATAATTTACTTATTTATTTTTAATTTTATTGATTTTAGAAAAAGGAGGGGAGAGAGAGATAGCTGTTTGTTGTTCCACTTATTTGTGTATCCATTGGTTGATTCTTGTATATGCCTTGACCGTGGGTTGGGGGGATTGAACCTGCAATCTCAGTGTATTGGGATGATGCTCTAAACCAAATGAGCTACACGGCCAGCGCTATATAATTTCAAAATAAGATAATGTAGAGTCTAAAAATTTTAAGCCATATATTTTTTCAAAGTAAAAACACCAGTATTATTATGAACAATAAAGGCTATTAAATTTAGTTTTAAATTTCATTGACGTTCTTTTTCTGTTAGGATCTATGTACCACTGGAGGCATCAATTAAAACTACTGTGTTTTAACATCACCTGACAGAATTCTTGTCTGAAACAATTGTGTTACCAACTTGATACAGAATTAGGATCATTTATTTCAGGTTGTTTTGAATTTTTAGGGATTTCTTTCTTTTTCCTTTTTCTCACTTTTTAAAATTATCATACGTTTCCACAGTCAAGTATCAAACAGATGCATTTGAGATCTTGCTTCCTGGCAATTAGCAGTTTTGGGTCAAATACTCTCAAAAAAATTCAAAAGAAAAAAGTATGAAACAAGGTACATTTAGAGATGTTTGGCTTCCATCCATCTCCTTTCTACCTTATTTTCTTCCGGCCTGAATTATTTGAAATAAATTGCACCCAGCCAGTGTGGCTCAGTGGTTGAGTATTGACCCGTGCACCAAGAGGTTGCCAGTTCAATTCCCAGTCAGGACACATGCCCAGGTTGTGGGCCCAATCCCCAGTAGGGGGCATGCAGGAGGCAGCCAATCAATGTTCTCTCTCATTGATGTTTCTCTCTCCCTCTCCCTTCCTCTCTTTCTAAAATCAATAAAGAAAAAAAAGAAAGTTGCAGATAACACCTTTAATACTTTACACACATCCTCTAAGAACATTCTCCCACATAACCACAATACCATTATCTCACCAAAGAAATTTTTGTTTTAAATCCTCACTTGAGCCCTGGCCGGTTTGGCTCAGCGGTTAGAGCGTCGGCCTGCGGTCCTGAGACCCAGGTTCGGTTCCCGCTAAGGGCACGTACCTCGGTTGCAGTTTGTCCCCGGCCCTGGTTGGGTTGTGTGGGTGGCAGCCACTCGATGTGTCCCTTTCACGTCGATGTTTCTCTCTCTCTCTCTCTCTCTCTCTCTCTCTCTCTCTCTGTTTCTCTCTCTCCCTCCCACTCTACCTGAACAAAAAATGGAAAAATGTCCTCGGGTGAGGATAAAAGAATAATAATTAAAAAAAAAAAATCCTCACTTGAGGATATGTTCCTATTGATTCCTAGAGAGAAAGGAAGGGAGGGAGAGAGAGAAAAACATTGATCGGCTGCTTCCCATACACGCCCCAACCTGGGGTTGAACCCACAACTTAGGTATGTGTCCTGACTGGGAAACAAACCCACAACCTTTTGGTGTACAGGACAACGCTCCAACTGAGCATACAAAGAAATTTAACCAAGATACAATATTCTCCAATATACAGATTTCCCCAGTTGTCCCCAAAATGTACTTCAAAACGCTTTTTAAAAATCCATGATTCAGTCAAGATCCCACATTGTTTGGCTATCAATCTGAACCAGTCCCTAGCTTATCTGCAGTGACCTTCTGAAGAATACAGTCTAGCCCTGGCCGGTTTTGCTCAGTGGTTAGAGCGTCGGCCTGTGGTCCAGAGAGACCTGGGTTCGGTTCCCGCTAAGGGCACGTACCTCGGTTGCAGTTTGTCCCCGGCCCTGGTTGGTTGTGTGGGTGGCAGCCACTCGATGTGTCCCTTTCACGTCGATGTTTCTCTCTCTCTCTTCTTCTCTCTCCCTCCCACTCTATCTGAACAAAAAAAAGAATACAGTCTAGTTGTTTAGTGCAAGGTTCCACAACTTGTTTCACATAGAATAGACTTTTTTTTTTTAAATCCTCACCCCAGGATATTTTTCCATTTATCTTCAGATAGAGGGAGAGAGAAACATTGATACGAGACACATAGATTGGTTGCCACCCACATGACTGAACTGCAACAGAGGTATGTGCCCTTGACCAGAATCTAACCCGCGACTCTGGTCCATGGGCCGACTCTCTAACCACTGAGCCAAATGGCCAGGGCCCAGGATAGATTTGTAACAGCAGGACTGTTTGGTCAAAAGAGTGAATTCATATATATATATATTAATCCTCACCGAGGATATTTTTCTATTTCTCTTCAGATAGAGTGGGAGGGAGAGAAAAAGGAGAAACATTGACGTGAAAGGGATACATCGACTGGTTGCTTCCCGCAGGACCCTGACCAGGGCTGGGGATGAACCAGAACCGAGATATGTGCCCTTGGCTGGAATCAAACCTGTGATTCATTGGTCCTCAGGCTGATGCTCTACTGCTGAACCAAACTGGCCAGGGCTCATATTTTGTTTTGGTGGAGATTTTCTCTTAGGTGACTTTACATGATGTATGCCCACCCGTGTATTGGAGTGCAGTTTTCCCATAGTCTTGCGAACAGAGTGAGCTGCCAAAATTTTGGGTTTCCTTTTTCCCAGTCTGAGAGATGGGAAATGTATCAAAGTGTGGTTTCAATTTGTTTTCTGTTATGATTTTGAGCATATTTTCTGAAAATAGTCCATTCATATATTTTCCCCATGGACTTGGAATTTTTCAATTTAGCTTTGATATTACACACACGTGTGCATGCACGCACACACCTCTTTAGGGCAAAGGTTGTACAGTTTATTCCTAGTTTGTCATTTTTTTTTGCCATGCAAGTTTGTTTTTGTTGATATTTCCCTTTATTGCATCTGGGTTTTGAATCATATTTCAGAAAGTTTGCCCAATGAAAGATAAAGTAAAACACAGCTTGTTAGAAGATGTGATATGCTATGGAGAAAAATTAAGCAGGGGGTGGGGAAGGACCCCACATTCAGTAGGACGGTGGGGTTTGGGAGCCCAGATAAAGAAAGGGAGGAGGGGCACATAGGAAAGCAAATGTATCAAGACTGAAGAAGAGTAGTAAGGGATAGGAGATTTGAGAGAGTAGAGTACTCTGGAGGCCAAGAGAGGAGTTGTGAGAAGGAGATGGAAAGCCAGGTTCAAGATCACAAAGATGTCAGATCTGCCTGATTCATAAACTTACTGCAACCCCAATAAACCTCCCATCTGTGTTTGTATTTCTTCTGAAGCCAAGCAAGTTGGGTATAAAGTTCATTTCATTGGGAGTTTCTCTCTCCCCCTCTAAAATCAATAAAGAAAATAAATAAAACACCATGGGGGTGGCACACACAAGTCGGACGGGGGGCTTGGAGAGAACCCAGATACAACCCAATTACTCATGGAAATTTAGTGTCTGAAAGGTGGCATCTCAAATCACAAGTTTTACTTTATAAAGTTTAGGTGGGTAAAGTTTTACTTTATAGATTGAAGAATAATTCACACAGTGAAATGCACAAACCTAAAAAGTACAGCTTGATGAGTTCTGACAAATCTAAACACCTGTGTAACCTTAACCACTCATAAACAGTTGACCTTAGTAAACACAGGTTTGAAAAAATAAGTGGGTCCAATTACATGCAGATTTTTAAAAATAAATACAGTACTATAAATGTATTTTCTCCTATGATTTTCTTAAAACATTCTTTTTTCTAGCACACTTTATTCTTAGAATATAGTATATAACACATAAAACATACAAAATATGAATTGACTGTAAGGCTTCTAGTCAAGAGCAGGCTATTAGTAATTTTGGGGGAGTCTAAAGTAAAAGTTATATGTGGGTTTTCAATTACGCCAGGTGGTTGGCACCCCCAACCCCAGGGTTATTCAAGGGTTAACTAATACATTTCCAACTGCAGAAAGTTCCCTTGTCTCCTGCTTTGTTAATCCCTGCCACCTACCACTCCTTCAGAAGCAACCACTGCTCTATTTTAATAAGTGCTACTGGGATCTATGTAAAGTAAGACAAATATGGGTCCATTTGCATAAATTCCAAATGGCTCAGAGACTTAAATGTAAAAAAAGAAACTGTATAAAAACTAGAAGACAGTCTCATCTCTTAACTCTCCTCGCCCCGGAAGCTGCCTGTCTCCTTGGCAGTTACACTGACCGGTCTGCAGTCAGGTCTCTGCGTGCCTCTCACAACATTTACCATGTGACCTTTGCTGTGTAGCCCTGTATTTAAAACTTCACCTCCCACAGCCTGCTTTATTTTTCTCCATGGCACTTATCTTCCAATATACTCCATATTTATGTTGCCAGTGGTCTGTTTCCTTGTCCTAGAACAACTCCCTGAAAGTGGGGACTTTTGTCCATTTTGTTTAGCGCTGGACCCTCAGTGTTAGAGCAGGTGCTCAGTTACTCTTTGCCAAGGGTGAAAGTGATGAAGGGTTTCAGGGGGACCTGGGGTGGGGTCCAGAGCACCCCATTCTCTTGGCTTTGGTGGGATGAAAGGACAGGGGTAAGGCCGTTGAGAGAAAACAGAACAGCCTGTGAGGGGGAGGGCAGGTGTGGGTAGAGACAATGGGCGACACACCCAGGTGATGCTTTTTTCCATATTGAGAGAGGTGAGGTGAACAAATGCACAGTTCTTGACTCCTGTTGGAGTCCCCTCTTCATCTGCACAGATGCTGCAGGGTTCCCTGGGCCTGGACCCAGCGCAGCCGCCACTGGGGCAGGGACAGGCCCTGGCAGAGTTCCCCTGAGAGGGCGACTTGACCTGGCTGATCCCACCTGGGGAAGGGGATGGTGTCAGAGGCAAGGCCTGGGTCTCCAGCCTCACTGGTTTCCCCACACCATGCCCTGCTGGTCACCAGTCTCCCTGCCCCCACAGTCCTCACCCCCCAGCTCAGCCCTACCCCCCTTACCAGCCCCCACAACCCCTCTCACCAGTCCCCCACAACTCCCTGCAGCTTGGGGATCCGCTCCAGGGCTTGCTCCAGCAGGTTCTCCAGTTGCTTCAGGGCCTGCCCCAGGCTCTCCTTCTGCTCCTTCTCCTGGGATTCACAAGTCTGCAGCAACTCTGCAGATTAAAAGCCCGGGAGACAGCACTGAGTCCTCTGCTTCCTGGTGCCTTGCAGCCAGTGGGTCACCAAGTAAATTTCAGTCACCTAGTCTTGACCTCAGCATCTCTCCCACATCTTTCCCTCCTCCCAGGTCCTTAGCTCCACTGAGGAGGAAACTGAGGCACAGGGAGATCACACAACAAAACATAGTGCTGAGAAGAGAATCCAGGTAGTTTAACTCCACAGCCCAGCTTTTTTTTTTTTTTTTAAATCCTCACCGAGGACATTTTTGCATTTATCTTCAGATAGAGCAGGAGGGAGAGAGGGAGAAAGAAAGAGAAAGAAACATTGATGTGAGAGAGACACATCAAGTGGTTGCCACCCGCACAACCCCAACCGGGGCCGGGGACAAACTGCAACTGAGGTACGTGCCCTTAGCGGGAACTGAACCCAGGACTCAGTGGTCTGTGGGCTGGCGCTCTAACCGCTGAGGCAAACCAGCCAGGGCCCACAGCCCAGCTTTTAACTATTGGATGGTGACAAATGAGTACTTGGCAATTAGATGGGCAGTGTTTCCTAGTGGTTAGGAGCACAGACCCATCAGAAGTCAGACTGCCTGGATTCAAATCCTAGTTCTGCCGTCTGGGCAGCTACCAAGGCCTCTGCATCCAAGTCCCTCCTCTGTAAAAGGGAGAATGGCACTAACCCCCTGGGGCTGCTGTGCAGATGAAACTACTGAACGTGCTTAAAGCACTGTGAGTTCAAAAGGCTCTGTCAGCCATGGGTGTTGTCTGTGATCAGTTCTGGAGGCGGATGGTCCTGGGAATGGGCAGAGATGCTGGCTATAGAAGCAGGGCAGGCCTACTCTGGGTGGATGGTCCTGGCGGTAGGCTGGTCTTCATGTGGAGCAGATGCCGGCACCGGAGGCTCCACTGGTCCTGGAAGAACAGAAGGTCCTGGCGAAGAGAGGCGGCCTTTGGGAGGAGCAGCTCTGGAGCCTAGAAGGAGGGGGAAGGGACAATCACTTCGGGTGGGGGTAGGGTCGGAAAGATAGTCCTAGGGGCCAGGCACTCACCTTCCCTGTGGGCAGCCCCAGCATGTGGCTAAGCACTATGAGGCTAGAGCCCCCTGAGGACGCAGGATGCAGCTGGTGGATTGATGGCAGGACTGTGGGCAGGGGCCTCAATCTGGGGGGAAGTCCAGGTTGGGTGAGGCACTGACAGGGAGGCTTGGGTTGCAGAGGCTCTGGGGGCTGAGAGGTGGGCTTGGGGGGTCCAGGAACTTGGAGGTGGGTCTGGGGACTAGAATTCCAGAGTGAGGCTGAGGATCTGAGGGTGAGGTCTGACAGCCTGGGAACACTGGGGTCTGGGATTGTTTTTTTGGAGTGGGCAGACTATATTTTTGGAGGGGGACAGTCAACCAAGGGAGGGGATTTAAGGGGTGGCCTAGTCTCACTCTCCAGGGCTGTGCCGCAGCAGGGTGCCCAGCAGAAGGTGGGGCAGATGCTGGGCCTCCTTCTCTAGACAGCGAAGTAGCTCCTGGCTCTGTGGCGCCACCGCCTCAGATGTGGGGATCACTTTTCGCTGAATCAGAGCTAGCACCTTTAGGGAAGGAAAGGGATGGGGAGCAGCCTGAGGTCACCCAGCCTCATCCCTAGGAGACCTGGCCCTACCCAGACCTCACTCCACATCCCAACTCACCTCTCCCGGGCTCCGACACAGGCGCGTCTTGCTGGCTGAGTTGCTCTTGATGAGCAGGCGGACCTGTTCTTGTGTTTCCCCCTGGACAACCAGGAGGCCACCAAGACAGGCTGCTTTTCCTTCCCAACTCCCAGTCTCCTGCCCTGCCCTCCCCTTTCCACAGGTCCTGCTTCCTCTTGGGAGACTCACTGTGGGCCTCTCCCCTGACCAAGAGGCCCAGTTTTGGACCCTAAGCCTCCCAGCCCCACTCTGACCCTCCACCGGGCCCAGCCATTTCCCCTGGAATCCTGCTTCTCACCACCAGCTGGCGCCAGTGCAGGATCCGCTGCTGTTTGGCTAGTAGCTCCTGCAGTAGAAGCTGCCGCCGTCCAGCTGCCTCCTCCAGCTCCTGGCTCTGGGCACACAGGGCCTTGAGCTCTGCCAACAGGCCACAGCCCCGAAGCCCCAGCACCAATGCCCGCCTGGAGAACAAGCAGAAGTGAGCGATGGAGAGGGATGTGACTAAGACTCACAGTGGAGGAGGGGAGATAAGATCTGCAAGGATGCACAAGGGGCCACAAACGCAAGGAGAGAAGGGAGGCAGAAATGAGAGCCACAGGGGCAGAAAAAGTCTAATGTCCTGAGACCCCAGGGAGAGAGATGTCCGAGAGGCCTTTGCCCAGGAAGCCCCCTCACCTCTCGCTGGATCCCAGGGTACATTTCTCCACCTCCTTCATCAAGCTCTGCAGGCGCCAGGTCAGGGTTTGATGTTCCTTCAGGAGGGGGCCCCGCTGGCTGACCAGCACACTCACAGCTTGCCAGCCCTCCTGGGGCAGGGGGATAAAGTCAGGGTGGGCATCATCCCCGGGGGTGAGAGGACTGAGTGGGTCTTGGGATGGGAAGGGGACAGAGTCTGGGAAGGGTGGTTAGGGGTCACCTGGATGAGATGCATCACAGACGGCAGGGCCTGGCTGGAGTTTGACTGGTCTGGGACCTGGGACCTGGGGATGGGGAGAAACTGCTGAGGGAGGAGCCCTGTCTCCTTGCTTGGACTCTTGAGGGTAGCCACTGTCAAGCCACTTGAGTTTAGTTTCCAGATTTCAGTTCTGCCCCCATCGGCAGATCACTGTGCCCGATCTCGGCCCTGTCCCAGCTCACCCAGCCACCCACCATGCCTGACGATGGAAGCACTCTCCGGCACACCTGGCTGTCTCTGTATCTTGGAGCTTGTCCGGACTGCACAGGGACCGAATCTCTGCCTCCCGTTCTGCAGCCAGGTGTTCCAAGGCAGCCAAGACGTGGCTGGGAGGGTGGTTTGTCAGCAGTGTCTGGTGTGGAGAGGGGTGAAGTCAGGGCAGGATGGGGGCAGGGCTGTGAGCTGGGACCACATGGGGACGGGGCAGGGATGAAGAATCAGGTCCTGGTACCCTGAGGTTTGATCATGGGGCAGTGGGTGTGGCCTTTCCTGAGAACCCCGCTCACCTCCACTGAGCTAAGCCACTGCTGATAGGAAGTTCCAAAATGGTCATCTTGAGGGTTTCTGTGGGGTTGAGTAGGGGACAGAGAATGTTACAAGACATATCAATTTTTCTTCTAATGATCACCACCATCCTATAAAGTGGGAGCTGTCCCTGTGCCCAGTTTACAGATGAGGAAACCAAGTTCATCCATGCTTGCCAGACTTGACTTCCCCTCTTATACCAACTTGCTGCCCATGGGCCCGTTCACATGTGCTGCTTGCTTGGAGCACCCTCTTGGCCTTTTACCTTTGCTGTCTCCTCACCAGAGAACTGTCCTCCCTGCTTCCTTCGCTGGGTGTCTCCTCTCGGCACTCAGAGCCTATTTGGCTTCCCCACCTCCCAACAGTTCTAACCGCCTGGCTTGTCACTGTCTGCGATGGGTCTGTCTCTACCTCTTCCCAGCCTGGGAGCCCTGTCAGGGCAGGCCCTGGGGCTGACACAGCCCAGAGGTTCAGTGTCTGAGGAATTAACAAGTAACTCTTCCCAAAGCCCAGGTTTTTTGTAGGGTTTCTGGGGGCTGGGTGACACTTACGGAATGCTGCCTCCTTTGGCCTGAGGAATCAGGAGGTTCTGCAGGAACTGGGCTCGGAGGGTGCAGGCTGTTCGGACATCACCCTGGGAACAAGAGGATGCAACATACAGGGGACCCAGGGGTCCATCTGACACCAGACTCCCCACTCCTGCCCCCATGGCCCAGGACTCTTACCAGGACCACAGGCTCCAGGCCCAGGGCTGCTGATGTCAAGGACCCAGAGGTTATATCCACTTTAGCCTTCCTGGAAAGAGGAATGCAGTGGGGGCTGGGGTCCCTGGAAGGAGGGACTTGGGAGAACAGGTGTCTGTGTCCCCTTCTGCTGCCAGCAAAGCTAGTCACAGGGATCACTGAGTCTGAATCTCAGGCCACCTCCAAAATTAGGCCACTGCCATCTCCTGGCTGGATGGCTCCATTAGCCTCCTCTTCCTTACTTTTGCTCTCTGTGGTCTGTTTTCCACCCAGCAGTTAAGTGATCCTATTAAAACCTCAGACAGATCATGTCGCTGTTCTGCTCAAAACCCTTGTAAACAATGTGATGTGTCCTTATCACCTTCAGAATAACAATGTGTAACAGAAATTCTTCTAAGCACTTTGTATGATTTAACTCAATTACCATACCTACTATGTAAAGTAGGTAATATTATCTGCATTCTATAGATCTTAGAAACTGAGGCACAGCCCTGGCCTGTTTGGCTCAGCAGTTAGAGCATCAGCCTGCGGACCAGAGAGTCCCAGGTTTGGTCCCTGCTAAGTGCATGTACCTCAGTTGCAGTTCGCTCTGGTGCCTGTTGGGGTCATGTGGGTGGCAACCAGTTGATGTGTCTCTCTCACATCGATGTTTCTCTCTCTCTCTCTTCCTCCTGCTCTATCTGAAGATAAATGAAAAAAGGTCCTCGAGAGAGGATTAAAAAAAAAAAGAAATTGAGGCACAAACTTCACCCAAGGTCACACAGCTGTAAGTGACCAAGCCAGGGCATGAACTCAGCCTCAGAGAATTCCAGTGCCTTCATGGTACTATGTCCATTTCTCCAACCTCACCTCCTCATGCTGTCCCTCTTGCCTGTGAAACTTAGGCTGAACTGCCCTCCTGGCTGTTCTTTCCCACATGCCAAGAGCAGGGCCTCCGCTCCTGCTGTCCCTCTTCATGGAAATTCCTTCCCCAACGCAAATATTACCTCCTCAGAGATGCCTTCTTGGACCATCCTACCTAGAATAGCATCTCCTTCTCCCCTTCTATCACATCACCTTTCTTCATAGCACTTATCTCTACTTGCAATTACAGGGTTTGTTTGCTTCCTAGTTTACCATCTGTCTCCTCTACATCAGACTATAATCTCTAATGAGGGCAGGGTTGTTCCTTGTTTACTGTTCTTTCCCATCAGCGGTGTTCTAGATATACAGGTGGTACCATTCTAGGCACAATTACAGGTGGCTGAGATGACAAAACTTCCTGGTCTCATGGACTTGAAATCCAGGATTCTGGAACTCAAGAAGGGGTCAGGGCAAGTGTACTGGGGTCTCTAAGGGAAATGTCTCTCCACCCAGCCTGCTGAAGGCTGGTCCCTGGCACCTGAGGCCCACCTCTCTATGTCCTGCAGGCGCCTGAGCTGATTCTGTACCCATTGCAAGGGATGTTGGAGTCCACGCTGCTGTCTTCGCATGGCCCCGGCTTGGGCCCGGAGGAGGAGAGCATGTCGTTGGGTGTCTTGCATGCTCTGCAGTGCCTGCTCCATAGCGATGTCTGTGGGAGGAACAGGGTGGTCATCAGTAGCTCCCTAATACCTGTTCTGCTGCCCATCTGTCCAGCCCCATGAGTCACCCTGAGCCTCAGTCTCTTGATCCATCAGCTCCAAGCTCTGGTCTAACTCCTGGATCTCTGCCCGTAGGTGGGCAACAGCAGCTTCCAGCTCCAACTTCCGACAGGCCTGGTGGGATCAGGTACAGGGTCATATACACGACCTGGCCGCGGTTCAGCCTGGCCTGACTGTCCTTTGTGGAACACCAGTCTCTTCACCTGCCCAGGAGGGTGGCAGAGGGTTTTTCCTAGGCAGTTACTATGTCTGAACCTCTAGAACCAGAGGAACACTAAGGTTCCTGGTCCCCCTCCTTCCTCCTGAAATCATATCACCCTCCCAACTTGTTTCCTGTCTCTGCATTGATGGCAGCATGTTTCCGCCCCAGTCCTCATCTCCTCGTGAGCCCCTCATCTAGGAGTCCGGAGGTCTCCTGGAAGCATCCACCTAACTCACTTGGACCACTGCACATACTGAGTCCCACACTGGCCTGAGCATCTCTCCCAAGCTAGTCCATTTTCCCATCTACCCTCATCAGCTTTGATACCTCATATCTATGTGTTCCCCTTTCCCCTAGCTCATGCCTGTCTCCCCTTGGACTGTAAACCCTATGAGTGCTTGGATCAAGGCTGTTTGGTGATCCAGTGTCCCCATTATCACCCAATATAAGGGTGGGCCTAGAGCAGATGATCTACAAGTCCTCTTTTTTTAACGAAAGAAAATCTTGTAGCACGTGCTTCTCACCTCTGGACTGTACTGGTGGCCATACCTGAGGAAATGAGGCCAGAGTTAGGGGATCACAGGGGCTTCTAGGAGGCGTTAGGCTGTGGGTGGGGACAGGGCTGGATGGGACTGGGGAAAATAGAAAGGGATAGCTTTAAGGACCAGTTACCAGAGGAGGTTTCCCCGGATCTTCTTGACATTCCTACAGTGGAGAGGTAGGAGGAAAGGGAGTTAGTGTGGGACTTGCCTGTGTCCTCCTCCCCTGCCACAGCCTCCCTCATGCAGCCAGGCTTACCTCTGGTTGTGCACATGCCGCAAGACATAGGCCCAGATGTCAGCCCCCTGGCCCAAACACAGCCTGTGGGGACAGCATGTAAGGGTATGCCTGGGACATCACACAGGGTGGAGGATCCTCATTCCCAGGGTGGTGGTGGTGAGGTCTTTACTAGGGAATTCTCACTTCTCAAGGGAAGGGAGGATTTATATTTTGGGGGCTAAGATACTCCTTCCTGGGTGGGTCACTGAGAGGATAGGCCTCTCACTGGGTGTGGGGGTAGTCTTATTCCCTCCCTGGTGGGGTGTTTCCATACTCCTGGGAAAGGGTTACTTCCAGACACTTGCAGAGGTGGGAGTGGGGGATATACTGCCAGGAAGTGCTCTGTCATTACTGGATACGGGCCATCACTCCCATAGATTTAATCTTCCGTGGGATGGTCTTTGCTGACTCGCGTGTCCTCACTGGCTGGCTGGGTGGTGGGTGGCTGAGGTGCTGCAGGGACAGCCTCCCTTACCCAGGGGATCCTCTTTACACACGGGAAGAAGGGCTTCACTAATTCATGGAGGACCCTCACTGGTGCCAAGGAGCCCTGGGCGGCCTCACGGGGTGGGGGTGCAGTGTGAGGGTTACCGCCTGGACGTCCTCACTCAGATCCAGGGTCCTCTTCCCGGATCTACTCAGCGGGTGGGGGACGCGCCCTTAGAGGTTCGGCGCGGAGGAGGAGGAAGGCATCCTCAGTCAAGATGGGGTTCTCACTCCCGAGCGGCCCTCACCTGCGCAGCGTCGCCTCCGGGGCCCGGGCTACCTCGGGCGCCTCCATCTCTTCGGCCGCCCAGCAAACCAGTTTCCGCGCTTCCTGCGCTAACTCCATGACAGCGCCCCGCCGCCGCCTCCCGCGCCCGCTTCAAGAGTGGCGCCCGCCTCTGACGTCACGAGCGCGCCGACGGCGACGGACCACCTTCCGGGCGGAGCGGCCTCCCGCTTTGCAGGGTCCCGCGAAGGTTCGCATCTCTCGCTCCCCCAGGATGGGTCCCGCCGCGTGAAGACGGCAGGGGCGTGGGAAACGGCGGGGCCCGCTGGCTTTCTGCGTCCTCCCTCTCACTATTAGCTGTTCCCTAGCAGGCAAAAGGTCCCTAATGCCTCACTCGATTTTCTTGACAAAATGGGACTTTCATCCTAGGAGGATGAGAGCTAGGCAAGGAGATGCCAAACTTACTGCTCTTTGATTTCAGAAACGGGGTATGTCGGGACTGAGTGAGGGGTAGAGGGCGGATAGCATGGCCCTAATATGGTCCTCGCGTGGTTTCTTCCAGACTCGTGTGCCCTTACCATTCCATAACGTGCATGAGCTTACCCTGTGCTGGGGACACCGCGGTGGCCGAGGCAGCCCCAGTGTCCATGCGACAGAGCTCACAGTTTAGTTGAGGAATAGACGCATCACCAGGTAGGGATGGTAGAAAATAAGCAGCAGGGATGGGTCAGTTTGGAATACGGGGAGTGTCAGAGGTATGTGGGGTGCCCCAGAAAGCACTGGATACTAGGGCTGGAGTTCTGGAAAGCCCACTCAGCCTCAAACAGAGCTCCGAAAAAATGGAAACATTCAGGGACCTTTCATTCAACGTGCTTGCCTAGGTCACCACTCTGTAATTGTTGGGGGCAAAAAAGGGTAGTGGTGGTGGCGGGGGAGGTGGGGTGATACTAAAGCTGGGAACCCAGGGAGGAGGATGGAGCAGATGATGAGTGGGGGCAAGGACAGTGCTGGTGCCCAGTAGGGCCGTGGAGCAGAGAGGAGACTAAGTGGATAGAGTTGATTGGCTGTGGGGGCTGGGGGCATTCAGCATGAGGTCCAGGGCTCTGGGCTGGGGGTAAGGTGGAGCAGACCTTGAAATGGGGATGTGAAAGAAGGGAAGTGCTGATAACAATGTGGGACTCTATCCATATGAGGAGCCAAGGGGAAACCTCTAAGGGCTGGCTGAGTCTGGCCCAGGGACAAGGGGGCCATGGGATCACCATTGAAAAAGCAGATTTTGGGGAGAAGCGTCAAATGCTTCATAAGGACTGAGAAGCAGAAGAGGGTGCTAGGGGCTGATGTAATCCAGGTGGGCTTCCTGGAAGAAAGATTAGCAGCTGCTACTTCATGATGCCTGATTTCTCAACAGTTGTCATTTCTCTCAGATATCTCCACCCTTCTGCCCTTTGTGGAGGGTTTTTCTGTTAAAAAAAAAAAATCAATAGACAGCATGTTTGCCATGGGTTTATGAGCCTTTAAAAAAGTATTGATTGTTAAGAGAATTAAAAGACAAGTATGTATTGGAGGAAAAGTTAAAGCCAGATAAGAGATAAATACTAGTGGTTACCCACCCCCCAACTCTAAAAAGAAAGCCACCCAGTTGTTATTAGACACATCCTGTAAGATACCTAAGAGAGAGCAGAGCTGGTCATGTGACCATCTCCCCAATAGCCACTCACCATCTCACTGCTCTCCTCCAGTCTCTGCGTGGTGGCTTTGTAATCTGTCAGCTTGACTAGGCTGAATGAACTACATCCTGGAGTTGCCCTCTCTGTATGTATCAAATTAGGATGGGCCAAAATATTCTTGGCCAAGATTTGGAGGTCAGAAGTGAAGCAGCTGCCATTTTGTAGATCACACAGGTTGCATTCTACATTTTTGCATAGGGCAGCAGCCAGGCCAGCAATTATTCCTCCTCCTGGATCTTCCTGCAACTTCTCCAATTCCTGGTCCAGGCGTGTGTTTAGCTCCATGATGAAGAATGCCGGCTTCTCCTGTAGGTGTTCATACCACCAAGGGCAGAGGCAAGTCTGTTCTAGCTTGTCCTAGCTTTTCCTCACTGTACACCTGTCTTCTCTTCCTAACTGCCTGCCCTGTGCACTTTGAGGGTGAATATTAGACACTAAGACAATCTTAGGGACTGCTTAACAACTCCACTAATTGCACAGGGTCAAATCCCTGTTATCTTTACGTATGTATGTATGTATGTATGTATGTATGTATATATGTATGTATGTATCATCTATCTGGCTATCATCTATCTGTCATCTAATATATCTCCCCTAGTGGTTCTGCCTCTCTGCCTCTCTGATTGAAACCTGATACACTCTGTAAGCAGAGACTTTTGATGTCTGAGAAGTCACTGTTACATCAAGCTCTTGTTCGTGGACAAGTTGCAGTGGCTTTGCTCCTCCTCTCTCCCATAAGAGGAGGGGTATTCTTCACTCCCCCAAAAAAATCTGATGCAAAAAGGTGAGATTAACATCTTACTCTCAGGACAAAAAACATAAGTAATATTTGTACCTTCTCTGTATTCAGTTTGTTCAATATACTTGGCAAAATGATTTTTGTCTCCAAACTGAGAAGGTGCTCAAGGCCAGCATCTCCAGCATGCCAGGGGGACTTGTTAAAAATGCAGAATCCCTTGCCCCCTAACCTCTGAATTTACTGAATCAAAACTTGAATTTTGACAAAATCTGTTAGTGATTCATGTGCATATTGATGTTTAAGGAGTGCAGTCCGTAGCACACTACTTTTGGGGGATGAAACTTTTTTTATTACCATTAATTGCCAGACATGATCTTATCATTTGTTTCTTGGATATACAGTTTTAAAACATGTGATCAATATCTGGCACCTCTTAGACCATCCTATCTTTAATTTCCTCGTAACAATTGACATTTATATGATCATGTGAATCGACATCAGCTGAGCCAACTGAGAGACCCAGAGTGTGTGGCCTGGAAGATGAAGAGCTGGACGGATTTTGCAGAAGTCACTAAGGACTACTGCACACCCAGAACAGCAACTCTGCTTCATCAAGTGTACCTACACATATTGAGTAAAAGTGCAAAATACACATAGGAGTGATTCACAACAACCTGAGTTCAGTGCTTTCTCCAGGGATGGAGGGAGGGAAGAAGGGAACAGTGGAGAGGGGCCGGGGCTTAATCTGTGTCTATAATATTGTATTTCTAAAGAGAAGAGATCTGATGCAAATACAGGAAAATGTTTACATCTATCAAATCTGGATGTTACATGGTCATCTGTTAGACTCTTTCTGTACAGTCTGTAAGATTTGAAAGCTTTAAAAAAAAAACAGGCTTAATTTATTTTTCTTGTATAAAATTGTGTGATGGCCGCAGCTGGAGTCTGGCTCCTCTGCATAAAAACTCCGATGTGGGTCTTTACAAGATGGTCAGAGAATTCCTGACAGGGACATTTGGTGAACATAGTCTCTTTTGAGAGGTCAGGGGTGAGACAGCTGGAGATCTTGGAGATGGCATCAAAGGTAGCCCAGGGTGGCGGGGCAGCCCCTGGCCAAGGTGTAGCAGTCATCAGTACCGGCCATCAGTAGCAGCTTCTTGGGCACGGGGGCTGAGATGATGTCTGTGCCCATGGTGGCGGGGATGAGGTATACCAGCACAGAGCCACAGCAGCTGGTCACCTTGCAAGGGACAGTGTGGGGCTTGTCAGTCTTGTTCTTCCAGGAGCCTTGCTGCACAGGTCCACTAGAGAACTTGGCCAGGATGGTGGCCCACATGGATGGCAATGGCTACTTCCTTAGAGTACTTGAACCGGGTCCTCTGGCCAACACAGGTCTACTTTTGCACAGGCATCATCTTCAAAACCTCCTCCTTTGGGGATACCCCCAGAAAAATGTCAGTGATCTCAGATTCCTTGATGGGTAGGGAGAAGAGAGACACATCTTTTCCAGAGATGTGGTCTTTATGTCCTTGACCAGGTGGCCCAGCTTGGTGACAGGGATCTACTCCTTGTCCTCAGCCTTGCCTCTGCCAGCTACATGGCCTCAGCCCAGCCTTGACCCCAGCCATGACCTTGGCCCTGGATGCTACTGCCAAATCCTCCATGGAAGCTGCCACAGCCTCCCATTCCAGTGCGCCTAGAACTCCAGGCCTTCCTGCGGCACTGGCATCGTCTGTCATTTGGTGTTTCCTTGGAGAAGAAGCAGATTTATCTAAATAAATTTTAAAAATTAGTTTTTTAAATTGTTGACGATAGTACACATGTCCCTCATGCCCCCTCCCACTTTTTGCCCCTCTCTACCCAACCCCTGCCCCACCCTAGGCCTTCATCACTATTGTCTGTGTCCATGGGCTATGCATATGTTATTTGGTTAATATCTTCCCATCTCTCACCACCTCCATCCCTTCTGAGATCTGTCCATCTGTTCCATGTATCCATGTCTCTGGACTTATTTTGATCCTCAGTTTATTTTGTTAATTAGATTCCACGTATAAGTGAGATCATGTGATATTTGTCTTTCTCTGACTGGTTAATTTTCCTTATAATAATCTCCAGGTTCATCCATGCTATCACAAAAGGTAAGAGATCCATTTTTTTTTTCACAGCCGCACAGTATTCCATTGTGTAAATGTACCACAGCCTTTTTAAAAAAAAAAAAAAAAAAAATGTTTTTATTGATTTTTTGGGGGGGAGAGAGAGAGAGAGACATTGACGTGAGAAACATTAATTGGCTGCTTCCTGCATGCCCTGTACTGGGGATCGAGCCCACAACTTGGGCATGTGCACTGATAGGTAATTGAACCAGGACCTCTCAGTCCATGGGATGATGCTCAATCCACTGAGCCACACCAGCTAGGCTACCGCAGCTTTTAAAAATTGTTATTCCTCACCCGAGGATACTTTTTCGTTTATCATCAGATAGAATGGGAGGGAGGGAGAAAGAGAGAGACAGAGAGAAACATTGATGTGATAGAGCCACATCGCCCTGGCCAGTTTGGCTCAGCGGTTAGAGCGTCAGCCTGTGGTCCAGAGAGACCCGGGTTCGGTTCCCGCTAAGGGCACGTACTTCGGTTGCAGTTTGTCCCCGGCCCTGGTTGGTCGTGTGGGTGGCAGCCACTCGAT